CATTCGCGGGTCCATCTGTCTTGTTCCGCCCATTGATTCGCCGAACACAAGTGTGTAACCGCCAAACAATGCATCATTCGCACAATCAAAGATCAAATATTTTGGCTGCTAATTGCCCAAACCGCTTGAGCCAATCTAACTGTGCCACGACCCAGTTTGCTTAGGAAATGGGTGTTGCCAGTGAAACATCAGCTTATATAATTAATTTTGGCTTGTCAATGTTTGTGCATCACTCTGGCCCGACTAGTCGATTTATTGGGAAAACAAGTTGTATGCAGGCGCGCTAAACCGATGCAGCAAACACATGAGAACTGCGAAGCGTCCGTATCAACTGCATGTGTTGGGCGCGCCGGGTTTAATCGGGAAATATGCAACAGTCGCCGATAAATCAGCAGGATTTTGTTTGGGATGACCCGGATGCTGCACCGCCCGCCATCTCCATGCTTGACCGTTAAATGTGGGTACCACGATGAATAAACATGGCTTAAAGAGTAGCAATAATTGCTCTGTCCACTTCGAACAAAAGTAATAACAATATTAACGATCCGGATCGGTGTGATGTCATTGTTAAAAGCGGTAAGCCGATTCGCAGTTAAGCGGCATGTGGTTGGTTGCGTGGTCGGCTTTGTCTCACCCATATGGTGGACTTGCAAGGGCGAATTTTATTGATGCAATTTTCATTTTCCCATCCGAAAATTCCAGTGCAACCGGACGGGTTTTTCCAGCATGAATCGGCCCAGATCATGGTGATGCTGATGAGAGGGACGATATTTGCATGTTTCGAGAGTTTCAGTATGTGAAACTCAGTCGAAAAGTAGAAGGGGCATTTTTCAATGCCTCAATTGAGTCAACGTTAGTCAATCAACCAATCAACTTGTTGGTGCTGGCGCTATTAAGATTGATGAGTTTTTAGGCCGTGGTTCTTGGCTCATATTCTGAGAACTCGAGCTGTATAGTCTTAGTTCTCAAAGCGCGGTAGAGCCCTAAAATGCCCATTTTTTCCATTGTTCTTTACTTTATATACTTTCCTGGCTGTGCTTCAATTCCAAATGAAATTCACTCCTGGGTTTCAGTCATTTATTGTCTCTATTTATCACTCAAAATACGTTTCGGTGTATTTTTCCACCATCATCAGTTTTTATGTGTAGCGTTGTT